AAATTTTACCTAATAATGGTATATGATTCTTTTAACGTATTCTTTAATTTGGTTTGCTACAATTTTGTTGAGGATTTTTGCATCTATGTTCATCTTGGATAGTGAAGTGTAATTATCTTTTTTTTTGTAGTGTCCTTGAATGGTCTTGGTATTAGGGTAATGCTGGCCTCGTAAAATGAGTTTGGAAGATTCTCTCCTCTTCTATTTTTTGGAAATTTGAGAAAGATTGGCATTGATTATTCTTTTAATGTTTGGTAGAATTTACCAATGAAGCCATTTAGTCCTGGACTTTTTTGGTTGAGAGACTTTGGATTACTGACTCAATCTCCTTACTAGTAATCTGTCTGTTCACATTTTCTATTTCATAATGATTCAGTGTTGGTACAATGTGAGACTCTAGGAATTTATCCATGAATGGCATTCTTTAAAAGAGGACCAAGAAGACAAAAAATAAAATATGAATATAAATAAAATAAATATATAAAATGTAGTTAAAAAGATATAAAAATATATCGTAAATGGAAAATCTAGTAGAAAAATGCCAAGAAACAAAGTAAGAGAATAATAGGAAATTTCAGAAAAAGAATAGAGAAAACTGAGGAGACTACATCAAAAATTGAAGGAAATTTCCATAGTGTAAGAACATAATCCCACTGGGTGCCAGCCAAGAGTTGAAACACACATTGAGAAGGTTATTGATAGTTTAGAATATTATGAGAAAAGAGAAAATCCTAAAAATTTTCAGAAAAATGACAAAACTGACTCATTAAAAAAGATAAAAAATATGAATGTTTAAAGACTTCTCTACAGCAACACTGGAAACTCAAACAATCGGAAAAGGATGCCTTCAACATTTGGCATGACGTTTATTTTCAAACTTGAAATCAATATCCAACCAAGCTATCAATGAAGTAGGAAGACTGACTGAAGTTGAGATAAATCTTTGCAGATCCAGAGAGAAAAATGCTCGGAGTTAGGACAGGTTAGGAACGTCCTGGAAGACGTGCTCTAAGACAATGAAATGGGTAGAATATTTGATGTAGATTAAGTATCTTACTTGATTGTTCTGAGAGAAGATTTAAACAACCATGGAATGTTTGGAGTCATTTAGTGGTTATTCAGAAAACTAAGCGAAACTTACGAAACCAAGAAAGCCAGGAGGGGTAGAGCAGGAGTACGAAACAGGAAAAATAATATAGGTCATATTTCTCAGATGTTCATGGATTTCTATTCGACAACATTCTAAATGTTGAATTCCGCTCTAAGTAGGATTATCACGTAGCTGTAATAGGAGGAGGATGGGGACATGAAGTTTAAGTGTGTTGGGTGGTCGAGTGTATCAACAAAAGCTAAATCCTCATCATCTAACAGTGGAAATCTAACCACAATGCCTACAACTGAGAAATCAGTATGCGATACCAGATGGATCTAATGCAAGTAAATATCCAAAAAGAGCTAGATTTTAACCTGGCTGTTTGGCAAGCAGAAAATGATTAGTGATATTTCGTACAAGTCGTCTCACATTATTATTCAACCATAAATAGAAACCCTAACGGTTTCATGCCACTGTCCCCCCAGTGAGTTGTCTTGTACAGCGTTGGAGACCCTGGGCTTAGCCCCCGCGGTTCATGGATGGAGTGTTGAGTAAGCCCCTGGGTCTGCACCCATAACCACCAGGTAGCAATAGTGAGGCATCCCTGGTCTTCGTACCACATTAATTTCTGAATACTTTCTGCACTAAGGGGTCTACAATTCTTGCATATATTGGAAAGACTTTTTATGGTTGTAGAAGATACAAAAAGTATCAAGAAGGCAGAAGATATCCCCAATCCCATTGTTAATATTTTGACATATTTCAGTTTAGTCTATTCCTGGGCATTTTATGTGTGTGGACATATTTTTATCATAAAAACTACATCCTTGTGTGTATTTAATTTCACATAAGTCCTCTGTTGTGAAAGAGTATAAAACAAGCATTTTCCCATTCACAGTGTGTCCATGGCAATGTCCTTCGGTCACCTTAGCACAGGAGGTTCCCTCTAGCCATGCCATCCCCGACTGCCTACAGCTTCATGCCTCTAGATTCTTTGCTTCTCCTCCCTTCTTGGGTAGGAATCTTTTTTTTCCTACCGAAACTCTTGGGAAAAGATATACCACACACATGCACACACAGACACACATACACACAAACACCAAATTCCTCCTCCACTTATGGAAAAATGTCGTGCTTATTCTGTTGTCCCGGTATCTGCAAACACATGCTCTTAACTTTCCAAATGATTTATTCCAGATCCCTTTGGGCCAAGGTCAAACCCTTGGTCTCAGGTTGAAACTAGCATCTTAGGCAAAAGACTAATCTGTTGATGATCCACCCTTCCCTTGTTTTTTTTTTTTAATTTTTATTTATTCATGATAGGCACACAGTGAGAGAGAAAGAGGCAGAGACACAGGCAGAGGGAGAAGCAGGCTCCATGCACTGGGAGCCCAACGTGGGACTTCATCCCGGGTCTCCAGGATCGCGCCCTGGGCCAAAGGCAGGCGCCAAACCACTGCGCCACCCAGGGATCCCCCACCCTTCCCTTGTTTTTGTAGTTTCTGTACTAATAGTTGGCTCAATTAATGACTCATCTCAGGCTTTCCTAAGAGCTCTATTATTCTGCCACTGACCTTCCCAACTGTCTCTCTGGTCCTCGGTCTTTACCCCTTACTACAGCATCTTCTCTTCAACCAGCCCAGCAATCACATGCCCTAAGCGAAAAACTGTAATAGAGCTGACAGGAAGGGGTTCATGTTTACTGGCAAGATAATACAGACGTTGCCCTCGATCCCACCTCCCAACGCCTGCACTTACTCCTCAACATGTATTATGGTATATTAGCATTACAATTTACTGCAGAATTTAAATTCACCCTGAACTTTTAACGTGTTTCTAAATTGTAATATTTGCATAAATATCACCTAGTGTATGTTTTAAAGGTCTATGCATAGGAAAAAGTATGAGAAATCCACAAAGGATAAAGCATGGCAAATATATTAGTATTTTCTTATTTTGATTCTTTAATTTTGTATTTACCCATACCTTTTAATCATTATGTTTTATATACACATATATATATCTGTATATGCATATATTTGCAATTAAGAAAGTTTAAGTGTGGTGAGAATTATGTACATTATATCTTTAAGTTTCCATTCTTATGTTCAGTTTAATAATATCCAAATTATATATCACTTCCTGGTTTCTGTTGATTTTTTCTACAGTAAAATAGTTAATATTTAAGCCCCAAATTTCAGTTGCCACTTAGTACTACACTATAAGAATTTTTAAACTTATTTCGCTATTTATTTACATACCATTTTTTCAAGTTTTCAATGGAAACAGTTACCATGGAAAATATAAAACATTCCCATGTATGAAATATAAGACAAACAAGATATTTATAAATTAATTTGTTTGGGGTGAAGAGTAGATACCCCAGAGAGCTAACTTTTTTTTTTTTTTTTTTTTTTTTTTTTTTGAGAGCTAACTTTTAAATTAATTAGAACATAAAAGGCAAATTATAATCCAATGCACCTGACCCTACTATGCTAGGTCATTCCCACATCCATGATGGCTTTCAATGAGTACTAAATACTTCCTTTCCATGATTTCTTTTTAAATACTTCCTTTCCATGATTTCTTAAAAAGATTCTTCAGTGTATATATCACAGACAGCATACCTCTCTGTATGAAACAGGGTGATTCTTCTATTTGTATATTTTTAAATAAGGACAGATCATAAATAAGCAAGAATTGATACATGAAGAAATATAAGGAGGCTATTACAATAACCCAAATCAGAGGTGATGTTGATTTATTCCAAAGTGATAGCAATGGAGATGAACATGAAAGAGTCCAGACATATTTATATAGATAAAATTGACCCAATTTGGTGGGAAGGAAGAGAATGTTCTCAGGGAGGACAAGCAATATAGTATATAGAGGCTGAGGGTATGAATTCTACAGCAAGACTACATGGTTTCAAAATCCAAGTCTGCCATTTCCAGACTCTGTGACCTTGGGCAAACCACTGAACTTTACTCTGTCTCATGTTTTCATGTGTGAAATGTGATAAATACAGTGCTAACCTCATTGCACTGTAAGAATAACACGGATTAAATTGTTTATTTACTTTGATCTTAGAATAGTGTTTATTATATATGGAGCACACTGTGTTTGTAATTATAATGATGATAATGCTATTAGCTTATATAGGTGATCCTAAAGAAGAACTACATTTGAGGAAGAAAATAGTGTGCTTGGTCTTGAACATTTTGGGAGTGGAGTTTTATTTAAGATATTCAAGTTATGTTAAATAGTCAATTGGATATATAGGTCTAAAAGGAGAAGTCTGGGCTGAAGACCAGAATTGATGGTATGGTGTATCTACAGGCATTAAATCAGTGAAAATATATGAGATTTCCTAAGGATAAATACTTCAGAAAAAAGAGGTAGCCGTGACGGAGTTTCAAGAAACTCCAGTTTTAAGGAAGGATAAAGGAAAATGAATTGGCAAGTTAAATAGAGAAACAAGCAGAGATGTGGGAGAAAAACCAGTAAAGTGAGATATCACAGAAGCCCCAAGAAGAGTTTTGCAGCAGGAAGAAGTGGTTAACTCTTCTGGGTACTGTCAAGAGGTCTACAAGACTGAGACTGAGAAGTATGTGTTGGGTTTAGGAGTACATTGATAATCAAAGCAAGGGCGGTTGGGGTGGCCTGAAGGGACGGAAGCCAGATTGGAGTGGTTAAAGGAACAGAGTCAGTGAATGTAGACAACTCTTTTGCGTAGTTTGTGAAAATGGGGGCGAGGTAGGGCCGTGGTTTAATTGAGAAGAAGGTAACGAAGGCCGCCATTTTCCCTTTTGTAAAGACGACTTGAAAATGATGAAATGTTGGCGGCATGAAGCCAAATACTAAGCAAAGGACCACATGATGTGTAAACTTTTTTCTTGTTGAACAGAACTCAGACACAGGAACCAAGTACCGGACAAAGAAGGACCACATGATGTGTAAACTTATGTGTTTGTGTATCGCTTACTCTTCTACCATTGGTGGACTCACAACGATCACAGGCACTTCTACCAACTTGATCTTCTCTGAGCATTTCAATACGTAAGTAAAATGATTGGATCGTTGATTAAATAAATAGGCAGCACATAACTTACGAGGCTTATTCTTCACTGATTCAGAGAATCAGGAATGGAAATTGCTGTACTGAGTTAACCTTTTTTTTTTTTTTCATCAGGACATCTATAGGTCTAGAGACCTTCCCTTCCACTAAGAGTTAAATATGGAGGGTGTAGTGAATTAACAGGTGCCTTAAGATTCCCCAAGTCAGCTCACAATAGATAGTTATGTCTGGCTGACCATTCTAATCAAATGGGAAGACTTTTCTTGTTACAAATAATACTGTGAATGATAGTTAACTAATGTGATTAGGGATTATCTGAGTAGGAAAATGTATGTAGGGTTTGGGAACTAGCATTTAAACATAAAAGATGAGAGTTGCGCACAAACGTGCTTATTACAGAAGTCTTGCCTAGAATTTAAAAAGATTTGAAGGATTGGGCAATTGCAAGAAATGTCAGTGATAAAGTATTCTAAGGACAGACATAGGACTCTAAATATAAGTTTGCAACCGTGATGTTCATCTATTGGAGAACATGGGGAATCTGTGGGTAGAGTCAGATAACTTGGGTTAAAAAATCTGTAATTTTCAGCCACTTACTTTGTGAATTTGAACAACAAAAAGTGAATTACTCTCCCAAGACTTAAATTTTTCATATCTAAAACAGTCACAATTCAGATGATTATTGTGAGACTTAAATGAAGTAAACCATGTAAAAATACTTGATGCTATTTCTGAGAGCTATTGTAAGAATTACTGATACAATAGTTTGAAAGTCCATGCTTTCACGTGAGGACTCAAACTGAATTCTACAACCGCAGTGTGTTTTCAAATACTAACAGGACAGATGATCAGAGTTCCAGCAAGGTGGGCCACATTAAGGATGCCCTGGAACAGGATGTACGTCTTTTCACAAAAAGACTAGGGTTCGGAGTCAGGAAGACTACATTCTTCAAAGCAGATTCACAGATTTTATGACCTTTCTAAAATTATTTGCAAAATGTTGTGCATGCATATCTTTTCTCGGAAACCTAAGACAAAAAAAAAATGTCACACTCCGTTGTCCTAAAAAGAACAAGAACTGTGTGCCAAGAACAGTGGGACAGCAGCTGAAGACCGTCTAATACAGACCTCCATGTGTATTTATTGTTTCCATGATTGCACGTCCATCACGCATGCTCCAGTGGCCAACATCGAAAGGAACCTTAAAACGGCATCTGGTTTATTAAGTGGGAGACTTCTGAAGCTCTCTGTGTCGGAGAGGATTTATCTAATGTGTCTCCTAATTCAAGACAGGAAATGTACTTGATCTCTTTCTGAAAACTAGACTTCCATCCTTTTTCATGAGTTCCCCCAGAAAGAGATTCCACATTTTGGTCTTCTCTGCAAATCTTTTTCTAAAATGTAGACCAAAATTTTATTGTTTTACTCTTGGTGTTAGAGAACTGCTGGTTTCCACCATTCTCATGAGATCCATGTTGTTGCAGTAATCCATGCTGACTTGCCCTTTGTCTGCGGTCTTGCACAATGTATCAACCAAATTTTCTTTCTTTTATTTAACTGTTCCCTTGATTCTTTGGATGCAGTAATCCATTTGCAATGACAGATTGGGAGCATTGCAGCACTTTAAGCAAAATGTTTCAGTAACTATTTTCCCTAATTATCTAATCTTCCAATTCTCCTATTCATGGGAATTTGGCCAAATATTCTTTAATTTAGAAAATGCTTAATATGTACTTGAAATTTAGTGAAGTTTTTTCTTCAAAAGTTTGCTTTAACATTAGAGAATTATACACAAACAGAAAGAAACTCAAAGTATCCCTTCCTGATAGAAAATACTAGAATAGAGAGGGAAAACAAACTTATGTGAGGCAATATGATTGATCCTATTAAACAAGCCAGATATTTAACCCACTTTTTCTTAAACATGGGCCCCAAGATACAACCACATCTCAAAGCAACAGTGGAATGAAATGCATTCAATTTCATTGGAAAAAGTGCCAAGAACTTAGAAATACAGGGAAAAAAAATATTTATATTCTTTGTCAAGATGTTTGGACCTGGAAAGAAATTGCCCTTTGTTTCCAAACCTTATGCAATAATGCCACCTTTTCCTCTTGACACTGCTTGCCATCCTTTTTAAAGCAGTATCGACAGTCATTTTGTATAATTTAATTTGGATCTTGCCTAACTCCATGGGTGCATGAATCCTAAGAATCAGTGACTTGACATCTAGAGAAAGGTGCTATCTTACAAACAGTGGGAAGAGGGGAGCGGATTTCAAAGCCTTTGTTTATCCATCTATTCACCTATCACTTGCAGATATAAAATGTATCATGCTTATTGACCGAGTGAATGGATAAAAGTTTATTTTTATTTGCACTGAATAAAATTTAGCTTCCTCAGAATAAACATTTGTTCTAGGACTGATGATGTGCAAGCAAGGCACTGTTGTGAATTCTTTTGGAGAATGAAAAACAATGAAACTGGCCAGGAAGCTTTGAGATTCTCTCTGGGTTCTAGACATCTGTGAAAACCATTAAAAAATTTAAAACATAATAACGTTTGGTTTTCCACATGGAGGCCAGTAGGTGGGTGGTATGTGTTGGATTCCACCTGCTCCGCAGTACACACTTACTCTATATGCCCTTGCTGTGAGGGCAGCATATGGAGGTGAGTAAAGCACAGATTCTGGGCTTAACTGCTTTCGTTGAAATCCCAGCCCTTCCATTTCCAAGCTGGGTGATCTTACACTACTTACTCTCTTTAAGCTTCTTACCTTGCCAGAAAAATGGAGTATTAATAACTCTCTTTTAGAGAATTGTTTAAAGTGTTTATTAAAAAATAAATGGCACTTTAAAATCGTACCTGTCTCAGAGAATATGCTCAGTAAATGTTGGTTATTACTATGAGATTTGAGAAAGTTGATGTTCATCTAGCAGACTGAAGTTCGGACTATGGTCATTCAAACCCCAAAGTCTGTCTCCCTAAAAAATCACCTCCTTAGAAACATAATTGAATATATACCCCAAAAGGGGACTGTAGCTGTATGCAGCACCCTTCAAACACTAGAGAAGATTTGTGCAACATGGCTCAGTCCTAAGAGGTAAACACCACATTTATGGAGAAAATGAATGCAAATAATTCATAAAATGAAAGCACAAAAAGTTTGTAATCATTTCTTTTTTTTTTTCCTCAAGGCAGTAAAAGAGCCTGTGGATTTTCTTTTTTTTTTTTCTTTACCTTTTTTTGCACTGTTTAAATAACAGTGTGCAGATTGATTGGCATTCCAAGAGTCTGGGGATAGGAGACCATTTAGGAGTCTGTTACCAAAGTGCTGACAAGTGACAAGGGGCAGAACTAAACTGTTATGAAGTGATAGGATTTAGACTCAAGATAATGTACAGGCAGAAGGTGGTGAGTAATCAGGTGTGAGGATTTAAGGGCCATGAGGGGTTAGGGCAAGTCTGGGATTTTTGCTGATCCAGCTAGATAGATGGTGATGCTGTGAACTTTTAGGTTCATTGAAGAAATTAATAAATTTGATTTTAGATATCTCGGGATGGCTGCTCAGAGCCTATGCATGGGGTTTTTATTTATTTTTATTTTTTAAATTTTTTATAAATTCATTTTTTATTGGAGTTCAATTTGCCAACATATAGAATAACACCCAGTGCTCATCCCATCAAGTGCCCACCTCAGTGCCCGTCACCCAGTCACCCCCACCCCTACCCTCCTCCCTTTCCACCCCCCCCCAGTTCATTTCCCAGAGTTAGGAGTCTCTCATGATCTGTCTCCCTCTCTAATATTTCCCACTCATTTTTGTCCTTTCCCCTTTATTCCCTTTTACTATTTTTTATATTCCCCAAATGAATAAGAACATACACTGTTTGTCCTTCTCCGACTGACTTCCTTCACTCAGCACAATACCCTCCAGGTCCATCCACCTCGAAGCAAATGGTGGGTATTTGTCGTTTCTAATGGCTGAGGAATATCCCGCTGTATACACAGACCACAGCTTCCTTATCCATCATCTTTTGATGGACACCGAGGCTCCTTCCACAGTTTGGCTATTGTGGACGTTGCTGCTAGAAACATCGGGTGCAGGTGTCCCGGCGTTTCACTGCATCTGAATCTTTGGGGTAAATCCCTAACAGTGCAATTGCTGGGTCGTAGGGCAGATCTAATTTTAACCCTTTGAGGACCCTCCACACAGTTTTCCAGAGTGGCTGCACCAGGTCACATTCCCACCAACAGTGCAAGAGGGTTCCCTTTTCTCCACATCCTCTCCAACGTTCATGGTTTCCTGCCTTGTTAATTTTCACGGTTCTCACTGGTGTGCGGTGGGATCTCATGGTGGTTTGATCTGTATTTCCCTGATGGCAAGTGATGCAGAGCATTTTCTCATGTGCATGTTGGCCGTGTCTATGTCTTCCTCCGTGAGATTTCTCTTCATGTCTTCTGCCCATTTCATGATTGGATTGTTGGTTTCTGTGCTGTTGAGTTGAATAAGTTCTTTACAGATCTTCGATACTAGCCCTTTATCTGATATGTCATTTGCAAATGGCTTCTCCCATCTGTAGGTTGTCTTTGAGTTTTGTGGACTGTTCCTTTTGCTGTGCAGAAGCTTCTTATCTTGATGAAGTCCCAACAGTTCATTTTTGCTTTTGTTTCTTTTGTCTTCATGGATGTATCTTGCAAGTTACTGTGGCCGAGCTCAAAAAGGGTGTTGCCTGTGTTCTCCTCTAGGATCTTGATGGAATCTTGTCTCACATTAAGATCTTTCATCCATTTTGAGTTTTTCTTTGTGTTGCACGGGGTTTTTAGTAGGCATTTGCAAAAGGAGTGGAAAACTTTGAGGGCTATGTGTATATAAACCCAGAAATTAGTGTCTTGAATGTAGAAATGGTCACATAGGGAGAAGAAAGTTGAAAGAATCAAGACATGGATAGATTCTTGGGAACTAACTATTGACAAGAAAGAA